GGGGGGGTGAGGGTATTTTTTCCATTGATTTTTAGAGAGAGTGAAAGGGAAAGGTCGAGGAGGCGGGGGGGAAGAGAGAGAAACATCAATGTGCAAGAGACACATCGATTGGTTGCCTCCCACACATGCTCTGACCAGGGGTGGGAATCAAACCCCTAACCCTCCGGTGTGCAAGTCAACACTCTAACCACTAAACCACACTGGCCAGGGCTCTCCAAGGCTTGCTTTCCACATCCTAGAGCCTGCCTGGCTTTCCTCAGCCGTTATACTTCTGCTTAGGGGATGCTGTCCTCCATCAGGACAAGGGGTACTGGGGTCTTCTGAGCTCCGCCTACCTCCTGGGACTTCCTTCTTCTCTTGTAATTGGGGTGCTGACTGGGGTGCTGATGTCCACATGACACACCTCCCTTAACCAGCCTGCCTGCTGCCCCATGGTGGGGGGTGGGGGTGTGGGTGGGGTGAGAGGGAGGATCTGTGAATGTAATCAAGTCCTCGGTGTGCCTGCCCAGTGAAGCCACAGGGCTGACGTTGCAGCGGTAAATTTCCTCTGGGCATTACGCATCTCAGGCTGGAATTCCAGCCTGGCTTCCGAGGTGGGGAGAGGCAGGAGGGGCTGGCCCATGGGCTGGTTTAGACCTCAGGCACTTTCTTGGCTTGCCGCTGTCCACGTGTCTTGGTGGCACGGGTTCTGTGGCCTGAATGGAAGCTGTAAAGAATCTCGGATCCAAGCTGGCCAGCATCCTTTTGCCACTGGCGGCTTTCCTTCCTTCCACTCTTCGTGGAAAGGAACCAGGGCCAAATGCCATCACTGCCACCGGCCCACATACTTTCCGCCGCCCTGCAGGCCTGGCAGAGCAGGCCTGGCTTCGCACCCTGAAGCCAGTAGTGAGGAAACACGAATCCCTGGGCACCCAAATAACGGTCCTGTTCACCCTTGTGGTTCGTTTGCAACCTTCATTGGCATTTGGGTTGGGTCTCCGAGTTTCTCCCTGCCAGCACCCATGCCCAGCCCCACCTCTCCCACCCTGGCCCAGCTCAGAGAGCTTCTCACCATGGACCTTGGGTGCTCCTGCCTCTAGGTGGTCCTGAGGAGATAATTGGAGCCAAGCAGCTTTCTCACCTGGATCATGGGAGGACAATAGCTATAAAGCACCTTGTTCTATTGTTCGAGCACTAAGTGAGAGAAAGCACCTGAAGCCTTACTGTAGGACTCACACACAGCAGCTATTATTATTACATTTCAATTCATCGGATCTGAGTATAGATTTGGGGCTGGGGACTGTGAGGTGGCTAGAGGGGAGGTGGAATTAGTCATGTTGGGCTGTGGGCACCTCGCTAAGTAATTTGGACATTACTACATGGGCAAAAGTGGGCAGTCAAGGGAAAAGATTACAAAGAGTTTTCTGGTGGCTGGCCTGTGGCAGACAAGTGAAGGGGAAAGATGGAGGCAGGGACTCAGTTAGGAAGCCTTGCAAGAGCTGGTGGTGGCCCCATATGTGGGGCCAGGGGCAGGGGCAGAGAGGAGGGGCTGGAAGTGAGAGATTCAGGAGGAAGCTTCCTTGGTGTTTGAGGGCAGATTGGGTGAGCCTTGGAAAAGCGTAAGCTCTGGGGCAGCCCCCCATTCCTCCCACTCAGCTTGGCCTCTCAAGGCCCCCTGTCCTTCTGCCAAATCCCTGTGACCTGGGAGGAGGTATGGGGCAGGGACATTGCTGCTCAGTGTCAGGGTATGGGGAGGAGAGCCCACACTGCAGGGAGACAAGAGTCTACTCCCCACTGAGCTTCTCCCTCCTTCCCCAGGGTCCTGCCTCTCTCACTCACAGCCTCAGAACGATGGATGGGATGGGGGCGAGGAGGGTGCTTTCCAAAGGCCTCAAGACATTCAGAATCTTTCCCTTTCTTGCCACAGATTGTGTCCACCCTTACCTTCTGGTCCCCAGAACATGTCCCTCCACTAAGCATGCCTGGGTCCCTGCACACACTCCTCCCCTCCACTTTTCTCTCCAAGCCCTACCCATACTCTCCTGGGATGTTCTCACTCAGGAATGTCCTCCCCAGGATACTAGGTGGTGTGCAAGGTGGCACCACCAGCCTCAGGATAGCCGAGGCTCATCTGCCTGAAACTTCAGTCTTAGGAAAGATACACACACACACACACACACACACACATGCGTGCACACATATGCTTTGGAGTAAAATACAAAATCCAAATTAATTTTAGTATAGAACATGAAAATTCAAGGAACACCTCTCTTCTGCTGTAATTTTGAGACCCCCTGCAGGAGGAGGCTGTTGGGGCCCTCTGAGTCTTCTGAGGGCACAGGTCACCCCTGCCCCCTCTCCTTGGGTCCCCGCAGTCACACTCCCTCCCTCGTGTAATGCTGCTTTATCACCATGGCCTTGTGCCCTGTGCCCTGTGCTCATGGGGAGTGCCCATAGCCCCTGCAGGGCCTGAGGGTGGAGGCAGGCTGGATGCGTCCCCTCTCCATGGCTGGGCCAGGAAAATAACCGTGTCCTTTGGTGCCGCCTCCTTCCCAGAACCTGAACATCCAGGTGGAGGACATCCGGATCCGACCCATCCTCTCTGCCTACCGCAGGCGCACCCCGGTGACCGAGGGCTACGTGGAGGTGAAGGAGGGCAAGGCCTGGAAACAGATCTGCGACAAGCACTGGACGGCCAAGAATTCCCGCGTGGTCTGCGGCATGTTTGGCTTCCCTGGGGAGAAGACGTACAACACCAAAGTGTACAAGTAAGAGGCCCGCACAGAGCGAGCTTTCCTGGGTGGGCCGTTGCCCGCTTTGTGAAGAGTCGGCTCTTGCGGTGGGCGCTGGGCAGAGGCCTCCGCCAGCCGGCCGTCATGTGCGGGCCTCACCCCTGAGGAGCTCACACTTCTGTGGGAGGCACACCCACATGGATGACAAGGGCAGAGCGCGGGGAGGGGCGGCAGAGGGGACCTGCAAGAAAAACCCTCTCTCAGTGCTGACAGCCACCTCGGTGACCATAGGGGCTGGACCAGGACACCACCAACTTAAGGAGAGATGTTTGCTTGCCTTCAGTAAACGATGTCTGGAAAATTAACTGTTAGGAAATTTGATCAGTTACACCAACCTCAATGAAATCTTAAAATTTTGTTATGGTTTCCAAGGTTAACATCTCCCGGGGGGAAAGGAGTGGGTGATATCGGGACTTAGAGTAATTCTCCAAGTTAAGGGGCTTCCCCCATGAGAAGGGGGTGGCGGGCGGGCGTCCTGGTTGGTGCTGGGCCTTCCTGTCTCTAATGATGACCTGTTTCTGAGTGCTTCTTGCGAGCCAGGCTCTGTACTTAGTCATTGAGTCCTCACAGTATGAAGAAGTAGGAGTTGATTTTACAGTTGAGGAAACGAAATCAGAGAGGAAAATGGCAGATCTAAGATCCAAACATAGGTCTCCAGCTACGGGGTCCAGTTTCCTACAGAGTGTAGACTCCCAGCTCTTTCCTTTTAAGCCTGGGGAAGTCAGGAGATGTGGGATCCAGACCCAGCTCTCCCTCCAGGTCCCTGGGGTCAGGGCATAGTGCAGGTCCCTGGATTTGGCCTGGCTATTTTGGGTCAGAGTCCGCAGCCCACTGTGAGGCTGAGTGCTGGTGGTTGAGCTGCTCAGCTGGGCGGGCTCACTAACCCTCTAGGGGTGATCCTAGTGGTGATCCCCACCCCAGACACCCTCAGATGTGGCCCAGACCTTCCTGTTTGCACCACGGTTCCCGTCCTCTGAATACTTTGGAGAATTCCTGCCAGCTGGCCAGCTCCTTCCCTGGAGACACCTTCTCAGCTTTTTCTACCCCTGGAGCCAAGAAAAGCAAACCTCACTCATGCACCCCCCACAAGCTCCCATCTGGCTGCCCCACAGTGTCCTAGCCTGACAACTGGTCTCAGTCCAGTCCCGGGCCTGGGGAGGCTGCCATCAGCCCTGCCCAGGGTTCATGGGGTACCTGAGGCCAGCAGCACGTGCCTGTTCAAAAGGCCTTTGAAAGCCATCTTCCCAACTGTGGCGGGTCCAGAGTCCTTTTTCTGATTTTGAGGAGGGATCTCAGATCTATTTAGGCAGCAGATTCTCTCACATGCTGGTTTTGAAACCCCTTCCTTGGCCCTCCCACCCTTCAGTCTGTGCCTTTGGTCTTTCACATGGGGGCAGAAAAGGACTTCAAAGGCTGGGAGCATCTGAGGTGGTGGTGGGTGATATTTTTGCCTAAGGCTGCTTGAGACCAGCTCTTCCTTAGGACTTCTAGCTGGAGGTGGCATGGAGGAGCAGGAGCGCGGGGCAAAACCTTCTCTGCTTGTCTCTGATGTTTTGTGTTAGTCTCCAGGACTCAGCGGACAGTTGGGCCCCAAAAGAGAAAGGTGCGCCTTCAGACCCTGCTCCAGCTCTGGCCACTCAGCCCAGGCTCCCACCACAGGCTGGCTGTTATGCTTGAGAGCTGGAGCAGGGCTGGCTTGACGATGGCATGTCTGTGAGCCCTGCTCAGGAGTTGAGGAAAACAAAAGCCTGGGAGCCAGAGAGAAGATCACACCCTGTGTGGCCCCTGAATCCGTGGCCAGTAACGTCTTTCCCCATTCCCCTATGTCCTTCTTACCCAGCCAGGGAAAGTGGCTTCCCAGGGAAGCCTTTCACTCTAGGAAGGAAAGTGTTGGAAAAGTAATTCTGTCTGAGATGGTGTTAGTAACCTCTGTGCATTCACCATGGCCCTAAGGGGCTTTGCAGGCTTGGGAACTCACCAGGGCAGGGACCAAGGCCTCTCCACCCTGGCTCCCTCTGCTGACTCCTAGGTCTGGTGGCCACTCAGAATCTCCCCAAGGCTGGGACTGCAGCTCTTCCTCAGAGCCTCTGCTAGCCACCCCGCCCTCCAAGTCAGAGGAGTTCAGGAGGCTTACCCACATGTCCCCAAAGATTTCTTAACCCCAAGACTTGCCCAAGAGTGGAGTCCAGGGCTCCCCAACACTGGCTGCTTTGCTATGAGCTGACTTCTGCTCTTGAGCCTCACGTGTACCTTGAAGCCAGTGAAGCTGAAGCCTCGGGGTCCACCCTGGGGGCAGGAGCATTTTGTACCTTAGTCTTTTCTTTTTCTTTCTGAAAGCAGCATCCCACTATTGACACAAACTCACTTAACAGGAATTCTTCATTTAGCGTTGCATCTGGGGAGTTTGGAAGGGCTCTAACAGTTTGCTTGGTTGGTTGGTTGGCTGAAACATGGAACCAAAGGTCCATGAGTGAAATGAAAATGCCAGCCTCTCTTGGTTTCATGTAGAGCAGAGGTGGGGAACCTTTTTTCTGCCAAGCGCCAATTGGATATTTATAACATCATTCAAGGGCCATACAAAATTATCAACTTAAAAACTAGCCTGCTATATTTGGTCAAACATTTAATTAACTCACCCCTAATATGATGGCTAGAACTGCTTCTCTTTGGTAAGGCCTTGGCAGGGCCAGACCAAATATGGCCTGAGGGCCGGATGTTCCCCACCCCTGATGTAGAGGAAGGAATTCAAAGTATCATGTAAGAAATGTCCAAAACCTGTAGAATTTTTATGAGTTTATTTGAGCCAAACTGAGGACAATTGCCAGGAAGCAAAATAACAGCAGATTGAGAAAATACTCTGTAGAAGGGCAGTTTTACAGCCTATTTTATACATTAGAGTGAAAGGGGGAGACGTGAGGGTTACATGAAATCCATTGGTGAGAGATTAGGGAGGCAGGAGAAAGCAAGGCAGGGAGATCTCTGAGACTGGATAAAATGAAGAGACAAATACTTTGACATTGGTGGGTATAGGATAGTTAACAATTTATGTTTACAGCACATAAAGGTGGCATTTGGGCAACAAGATAACAATGAGGGGTTCTGTGGTTTCATACTCTGGTGTGGCCTAGGATGTGACTACCCTCCATGATCTGCTTTTATTTAGGAATTTTTATGTTCAGACCACCCTCTGTGGTTACTTTTGGTCTCTGAGTTTGTAGGGCCTGCCGTGCTGGCCTCCCTTGAGCTTGTCAGGTTTAGTAGGTGGCCTCTTTCGTCCATCAAATGGAAGCTTACAATGGATTTGTCATTTGAGACCTACTCACTCACCCGGGGAGGGTCCAGAGGACATACCTGTCACCACACCTGAGGACTAACTCTGTGAGTGGAGTCTCGGAACCCATGGAGAGCTCTGTGATTGCTCTTCTCTTTAGGCCAGACCTCGCAGTGGGACTACAGTCATTGAATTGGGTAACCTCAATGCAATGGGGATAACTGATCCTGAGGTGGCAGTGGCAAGTGGCAGCACTTAGCCACCAAAGGCAAGATAGGCTTGGTTATGGGGTGGACAGCAGAGTCAAAGCAGCAATAGAAGTAGTCTGACCTGCACAGACCTAAGGCATTGATTGGATGATCATGGTGTTCCTAGAAGTGAAGTACAGTCGTGTGCTGCCCAACAACAAAGGTACATCCTGAGAACTGTGTCGTTAGGTGCGAACATCACAGAGTGCGCTCACCCAGACCTAGATGGTACAGCCTGCTGCACGCCTTGGCTATATGGTACGCCACCGTCATATGTGGTTCATCATTGGCCGAAAGTCCTATGTGGCGAATGACTATAGATAGAAAGCCTACTAAGTTCTTACTTGTTCTGTATAAGCAGGAAAGTTCTGGGTCATGTGAACGGAAGTCTAACCTGAATCATAAAAACAGAGAGTCACAGCCCTCAATCAATTCCCAGACTTAAGCCACTTTACAGACCCAGAGCCCATTGAATGAAGGGGAGGCTGGGTCCCTTTGAGGAAGGACCCTGGTACACCGCTCAAATTTTATACTGTTAATCTTTCTCCCAGCCTTCCTCAAAGGGATCTAGGATCTTTTATCAGGATAAACTGTCCATTGGGAGAGAGGGAATAATCAGAACTTTGGGGCACTTCCGGGTACTGGCTCTGAACTGAAACGACACGGAGACCTAAATGTCACTGTGTCCCACTGTTGTAGGTGGCGGTGTGTGTTAGAACCGTGGGGTCAGACCAGACCTGGGTTCAGCAACCTCAGTACTTGAGTTCTGGCTAGGAGAGAATTCAGAGCCAAGACTCAAGCTATAAGAGAACATTTATTTGGAAAAATCACAGAGGTGGAAAAAGTAATACATAGAAGAGGTTGGCTTAGGAAACAAGTTATAGAGGTAAAGAAGGGCATTGGAGCTTGAAGTGAGAAAGGTAATGGTAACTCAGGGTTGAGGGCTTGGGGGTAGGAAGGGAAAAGGAAAGGCTGGAGCACATTCTCAGGAGGGAGAGTGCACTAGGTCCTCAGTCCTAAGGGTTTTAAGGGTGGAGATTTTAGGGCAAGTCCCAGGAGAAGACCTTAATTGAATATTCATCCATTTTCCAGGTGTGTCCTTTCAGGGTCTAGGTCTCCACTGATTGATTGGTTGGCTCCAGGGTCATTACCCAATGCTGCTGGTCTTGAAGTCAGCCATGGGGTCGCTGGTCTGGTTTTGTTGCTTTTCTGAGCCTGGAGCTGAAATATAACTGAGTCCTAGATGTTACCTCTAGGGAGGAAAGGTCAGGGGGTCCAAACCAAATGACCAATGATGTGCTAGGGGAGGAAAGGTCACCCTGGAGGCGAGGTCCCACCCTACAATTGTCCTTTGCTAGGCACCTGGGGCTTCCCAGCTGGTGACCTTCTGTACCTGGCCCATTGTCCTTGCTCTACTCAGGTCTGCCTAACTGCCTATCACACCACCAGTCAGAGTAGGGAGTTATGGATGTCAGGTGATCAGTTGAGTTTCAGCTCAAGTCTGTCTCAAAGTGGGTCCTGTACCCCCATCCTGTGTAATATCCCTGTGTCAACGTAAGAAACGTCCAAATGGGTAAGATTTTTACGAGCTTATTTGAGCCAAACTGATAATTGCCAGGAAGCAAAATCTCAATGGACTGAGAAAATGCTCCGGAGAATGGAGTTTTGCACCTTACTTTATACATTACAATAAGAGGAAGGGGCATAAGAGGGTTACATGCAACTCATACGTTAAGGGAGGTGGGAGAAAGCCAAGGAGGAGGGAATCTTTGGAATTTGATAAAAAGTGTAAGGAACAGATACTTCTTTCACAAGGTGAGTACAGGATAGTTAACAGTCAACAATTAACCTGATAACAATAACAATCAGGGGATTTGTGTTCTCTGCTTTGTGCAGG